GGAAACTTCCACTGGGGAGTAAAGTTTCGTAATGTAACCGATGAACTGAAGTCGTATCAATTTGAAGTTAAACGGAATGAAGTGCAATGGTTGAGAAAGCTCGCGTCTGCCAATGAAAGTGGTTGAATTAAATGGCGCGACTGAATGGTACGAATTAAGATTGGTTACGGTAGAATATTTTCGGAGGTCTCTTTTTCTTCGGGGATAAATTATTCATGACCCCAATGGCTGATTAATTGCGTCCTTAAGCCAAAGGATTATTAAGATAAATGATGCTCGTAAAAAAAACACTTTTGGTATTACCTAGAACACTGAAATATTTTTTACACTGACTTCTAATTTATCCCACGAAATTGTATTATTCCGTGCATGCATGAAATTTGAAAGGCACTCGATTAACAAGGTATCGATATAACGTAGTTATAAATTTTTATTATTTCTAATTCATAGTATGTGATATTTTGCTTAAATACTAAATTATCTTTGTGAAAATTTTGTAAACTTTTACATCACAATTTTTAGATATCAGATCACTTTATTTGGAACCAGAGTTCTTACATTTAATCTTTAGTCTTCCGCGTCGGTTGTATCGGAGCCCTCAGTCTCATTCCTTCGTTAATACCTCATTGACTTCATTGAATTAATTCCTGCCATTTTAGGTAATCCTTTCTCTTAACCTCTTTAATCCTATACCATGATTACGTGTACCGAAGTTATCTTGAATTGACTAAAATTAAATAGTTTGTCCCTGCAGTTGGTTAAAGATCCCATGTGGTATTTTTCTATTTAACAAATTAATTAAATTGTATTTTCTTCAATACAGGATACAAAAATCTAATGAAAGTGTGCTTAATAAAAAAAAACATTTTAACATGCCTGTTTAATTTATCCAGCAAAATTTTATATAACATAACGATGATGGAACGTTTCTAATAATTCGCTATAGTAGTAAATTTAATTGAAACTATAACTTCGCAAATTCTATAAGGGTACGTTACCGTTTTCTACTAATACCACTGCCTTCAACTGGCGAATAGTAACAGAAAATTTTAAGTAGTAGGAGATCCGAAGATTGTCGAAGTCCTTCTTGTAAATTTCACATCTTAACAAAACTTTAGTACAAACTTTATGATCGTTCGTTGCATAAACGTTATCAACGGCTTCCCTTGAAAGTTTTGTACCGTCCCAACGAGCACGTTAATTCTCAGCGAAGTTTAGCTGCGTTTCGCTTCCAAAGAAGTTGCACTTTGTCGAACGTTAACAAAAGTTTCTACTGCTCACCGATAGAAAGTCGCCGCGTGGGTTGTACACAGTGTGAATATTATACGTGAAAAGTGAGTACAAACAGATCATATTTTTTCAGCAGGCTGTACAGGCTGTGTTGGATTTTTATGTTCTTACGATACCCGGCTGCTAGCATTTTCCTCTTTCACTATGCGATCAATGAAATATCGATACGCATCGGCGATCAAATGCCTAGAGCACTCATTGGCAAACAATACACCGGCGCCCTCAGAAAGCGTTTTATATCGACAGATGCATATATCGAAAGTTGAAGTACGATATATGTATATTTGTTCCCTAACGAACTACATTCCGGCGTATTCAATTTACCAGAACGTTTTGCAGACTGGGTAATCAAATCGTAATTAAAAGTGTATTCCAGGCGGAAATGCAACGCTAGAATTTGTGACGATTAAATGCTTACGAACGGTATCTCACGGTGATTAACTTTTGATCTGCATCAAGCGCTGATTGCGATACAGCGAATGCCTCTATAAAACACTCGTAAACAACTTAATTTACTATCGTTGAGCACTTACTATGTATTTCTATGTCGGATCGATAGTTACTTCCGTTTTATTTCGGTAGGTGAAAAAAAGAAACGGAAAACTTTTGTTAGAGTAGTCACCATTTGATTTGTCACTTGTCAATGTTTTATAGCCAATTCTCCGAAACAATGCAACAGAAAGGAAAAAATAGAAATATAAATTCCAGCGGACTACGTAAAAGGGCCAGGATATACTCGTCGATTTTGAAATGGAATATGATTGGGACTATTCGAATAATTCAATTAATAACGCGTAATTTAAGCTTGTAAAAACTAATTCTTTTCAAAATTCTTCTCCAATGTTGTCACCCATTCGAGCAGGATTTCTTCATTGAATTTCTGATTTATTTGGCAGAAAGCAAATCATTTACTGTAATATTTGTATTATTTAATTACTCAGATATTCAAATGGGAATTTTGGCAAGTAATCGAAATATATAGAATGTACTTGAGATTAGGATTCTGGCAGCACTTTTATCTGGACCTCACCTTTCACGGAATATAATATAAAATTACTGAAATCAAACTTTTCCATGTTTTAGATCATACCGTCCATGGAACCACGAATCAGAAACAATAGGCACTAAATAATTATATTTCATATAGAATATAAAGGGAAAGCACTCCGTGTAAAAAATTTAAATGAAATTAAATCCAACGTAGGATAAAATTACCATAATAATTTGTTCGAAAAATACGATATAAACTATAATAAATTTTAATTAGAAGCAGTATAAAAATTCCTACTTAAATGCAAGCATGTAATATTTTATTATAATTATAATGTGCATTCATTATAATTATAATATATTCCTTTTACAGAAAATTGAAATCGTAGTTTTGAATAACAAAGTATGTACTTGGTTTTAAAAGCACAATGTTTAGTAGTAAATAATAGTTTACCGCATTTCTAAAGAAAAAAGGAGAAGGAATGTCGAAACGTATATATGTTTACTACACATTCAAACTATACTGCGCATTCTTCTTTAATTTAAAACCAGGAAAGTATACTACATTCTTAGTCACTTGACGGGATACGAAATACAAATAATTAATAATTTATCACTCATTGCGTGTATCAAGAAGGTAAAAGGAAACGTATTGCGTACAAGGTGATTATCGAACCGCGTAATTCAGAAATATTTCAGACGAATTTGTAAGATTTAAAAAATGATATTTTATTTCAAGTTTATTGATTTTACGTCAATGTTTGTAAGTTCTTGGTAAAGACCAGTAAATGTTATTTTCGAATATGGAAATATTATGCGCTATTCTGATGCTTCGATTGATACATAGTTAATCTTGGTACAAAAAACAAGATATGTAATTAGAATAAATGAATACCTGAAACTTGTTAGAATATTGCGCGTCAATACACATGACGATATATAGTGATTCGTAATTTTATTTCGCGCATTTTTTTCTACGCATAAACAGATTCATATGTGATTATAAATTTTCCTTGACACATCCGCTTCCCTCACAGTAATTAATTAGTACTTTATCTACGCTCGGATCAGATCTAAATACCGACCTCTATTATTCATATTTACGATCTTATCCTATTTATTAGACAATATATACGATTCTATATATAGCTTTGGATATTCCTAAGAGCAAAAACACCGATTATCGTCTGAGCACTATCGGCGCTTGGATAAGTGATCATTTAGGCCAGTGCGTTTCAACTGATAGGTACGTAAATAACAATTTTTGCCCAGCTCCGTTTAACATCGAGAAACAGCGTAAAAATAAATGAGATTTATTTCAGCTCCAAATAACAGCGAATTTATCTAGAAAAATTTGGAATTACGTACTCGGTGATTCCCCCGAGGCCGCTACGCGCGCCGTTTCAATGAATCGATGAAAGATTGTACCATTACTGTCGGAATCGTAATATTCTTTCCGGTTAATGTTTGCAGACAGTTAAAAAAATGTTCTCGTTGGGCAACGTATCATTGTTCCTGGAAATCCCCACGAGACACCACAGCACGTTTATTTCTGACGTCTGAACCTGCCAGTTACACGTCGCGCATGCGTCAAGGTCATGGTCATTGAACGAGGATAGTGCAATCGGGTGAAGATCGCATTAGTCACGTCACGACCGAACACAACCGATGCTTTCAACTTTAATTGAACGAGGACAGAGCGATCGCATTGGTTATAATCCAAGCAAATTAGAACATTCATCGAATTATCGAGACACTCCGCTACTCTGAAGAGGTTATGTCATCGTGGCGGCCTTCTAACGGATGGCACTTTCTCAAATTTTTTATTTCGATGCCTGAATTAATTTTATTTCTACGACTAGAAATATTATTATGATGAAATAGCAAATATACCAGTGTATTATCAAATAATTTCTCATTTTCAAGCTACGGTTTGAGAAAATGCCAAGAGCAATCCAAAACAGGGAAACCTGGAGTGGCAGTCAACGTATTAATTATAAATTAAGTTAGTGTAACGGGAACTATTAAACTGTGTGTAAACAATGTTCGATAACACCACGTTTTCCTCATTGGGGAATTAACAGGTCGATCGTATGTCAATTTCATGAGTAATTGATTGCATGATTTATTGGAAGAAATTTCATTAGACGTTGTATGTTGCATGTGAGTTATACATGACGACGAACTCTCCCATTTCGAATTTTAGAATTGAGAAACTTTAAGACAGGGCCGTGGACGGCCATTTTGAGCACTTCTCGCGAAGGTGAACGACTGTCCATTATTGGAGCGTAAAAATAGCTATGACTCGGTAGCAGGACCTTATAGGGCACGCGTTTACATGTAATATTCCCATTGCTTTTGTATCCACGTTCCTGGCGTATATCCGCGCGTGTCAAAGTTCGATGACGCCAGGCGAGCCTAAACAGGGGATTAATCGCCCGAAGTTGCTCCGACGTCATAAGGAATCCTATTTATGGAGGGCTTCCTGGCGTTATCCTGCCGGGGGTATAAATACGTTCTTTTATTTCCCAGGAGAGGTCCGAAAGGATGCTGGAAACGCAGAGAGCGCTTCGAAAATGTAGTCTCCTCACGATCAGACCAGTTCTCTAAGAGGTGATCACCGGCTGCTTCGGATTAATCCCTTCCCTCGTTCCTCCTCCCGCCCCGGTATTCCGCGAAACTGGTGACACGTCTAGAAGGAGACGGGTAGAGGCCTTCTTTCTCGCGCGTTCCACCTCCTTGGAACGGATCCTTTCAGTGCCTGGCGTAGATTAACTTTTGATACGAGACCTCGCAGTCTCCGAGCGAGTCTCGATTCGTACACGCTGGCTGGGACACGTCGCGAGCTACCGATTATCAAATTTCTATCAGCGACAGCGAATTACTCGTAAAGCGCAACTTTACTGTCCGCCTGCTGCAAGCGCAGAGAGCTCGAAGGCGCCGCGCCAGCGAGGGATAAAGGACGGGGAACCGGAAGAACAGGGTGGAAATAAACGGGCAAACGTGAGTGCAAAGTAATCGTTAATCTTGTTGCCCGGGCGAGAAGCGTGCGAAAGTGTAAGTTTAATCTAAATTATGGAAAACGCTTTGCATCTCTAGTAGGCGCTTTAGGGCTTCTCGCCCCGCGCGCGTTAAACGTTTCACGCGCTGCTTTATTGCCGATTTTGAGGCGGTCCGCGATTACAGTCGGATCAAAATCAACTGCTCGTTTGAGGCCGAGAGAAACACCGGCTACACGGACGTTTGCTTCACCTTTATCTCCTGGCGTCTTCGCGCCGAGTTGCAGACGCTTGGTCCGTGTTTCTCATAAATTAGTTTCTCCCTGGACGGAGAGGCTAACGAAGGGCTCGAGATATTAGTCTTCGATTTTAATCTACTGTTGCAAAATTACAGGCTGCGCATATATCTTGCGAAATGCTAAGCGCCTTCGACTCGATTTAGGTGAAATGAAGTTGTGTGCCTTGCATCGTGAACATTGATTTTCAAGTAACGCTCGAGTTTTACTATTGCAATATTCGAGATGCCATCGAAAACAGAAAAAAAAATTTCTTGCTGCAATCACACTTTTTGCTGTTCGCCTTTTCCGGAAAAACATCTTTGTCGACGTTACGATTCATTTCTGGAACGCAATTAACTTTGTAGTATATCAAGTTGTGGTTATAAATTCCTTTGAAAAAAATATCCAGCGAACCAGTTCTATCATCTACTTCTTGACTTAAGTCCGTAATTAACGCCCATCGTTCTGCATAACGTTCAATGCAAACCCACCCAGTTGCAATTATTCTTATCTGTATTGATAAACGAGCGTAGACGAAATTCGTTCTGTTTCGCGGTTAAAAAAAAAATTGGTAAAAGGTGAACCGAAAGGAAACAAGCACCCGCGAATGCGTCATCTTCTTTGACACGTAATTTCGCAAGTCTCATTGTACGTACTTCTATGCGCGCGATCGCATAAATTTCCAATGCACGTGGATATCCATAAATTATCCGCGGACCAAGGAATTAAAAATGAGTTCGCGCGGGTTAAACGTAACGATACTACGAGACAATTGATCATCGCCACTAGAAACAGATACGATAAAATAAAGAAAGAATAACTCAATCTAAATTCCCATGAACTACGAATAATTCATCATGTTTATTGTCCCAACGACTCCCATTTTCTTTCGAACGATGAACCGACTCTGTGCTTCATCGATCAAGTTACCGGTTCTCAAAGCTGCACCAAACGTTCTTTTACGACATAAACGAGTTGCCACTGAATCACCAACAGCGATAGGATCAAACGTACCATAAGTTACAAGCGAAAGAAACAAGTGGTACTTAAGGGAAGTTGAGAAAAAATGGTTAAAAAATTTGTAGACCTCTTATGCTCGATAAAATTTACACTAAGATGAAATTTTAACAAGAGTTACAAGATTTATGAGATAATATTGTTTTCGAGAGTTTACAGATATTGTTAAATGCACCCTGATTTCTTAATATTAAATAGATATTGGACAGCTATTCTATATGGCAAATTAAAAACTACTTTTTATTAGACGTTTATGTAGACCATTATACTTAGCAGTTTCATTCTTTCGCTGATAGCATAATCGATGTTCTTGATTTGAATACCCTTTGTGCAACGAAAGAATAATAAAAAGGTGTAGGTGGGATTAATGTAAACTTTTCTTTCGACTGTAAGAGCAATAAACGTTTTATTCGCACTTTATTCGCTCGTGCGTACGAAACAAGAAGTCTGCATTAATCCCACTTTAAAAAGTTTTAAATATTGAAGCGGAAAAGAGAACAAAATCAGCGTTCATATACTGCTATATGCAAGATAGAAAAATAACTACAATTATTAGTAATAATTTCTTTTCGAGCAAAGAATTTTCGAAGATTTCTATTTTTATTAAATGAAAGAAAGTTTTGATGACTTTAATGACCTATAATACAATTTCATTGGACTTTGAAGTGACCTAAGTTGTTCGCCCACCCGGTATATAAAGTAAAGTCGAATCTACTGTTCGGCCACTCAAAACTCGAGAACCTCAACCTCGATTTCGATGCGGTTTTCGCCAATGGATTTGTCACTTCTCGAAGAAGCTTCCAAGCTTTAGATCTCCACATAACATCTTCAGAAAATTCAATAAATGCAAAAGATAGTTGCACTGTATATTTCACAATTTCTACACCAAGCAGCGAGATCGTACTTCAAAAATGCCACCAGAAGAACATCCAGAATATTCAACTCCATTTTATTCAAGTCGTGAAAATATGAAATAGCGAATCAAAAATTTAAACATCGTATCTAAGAATAATACGATGAACGCATTTGTTTCGTGTCGACGTTTTAGCGTAAATTGAAGGTCTTCGATATCACGCCATGTACGTTCTAAAAATTAACACAAGCACGACAAAATACAGTAAAATTCCGATTATTCGGCGTACTTGGGACTAGGGTAATGCCATAAAATTAAATATGATGGATAATTGGACTATATGTACATATACCTACATATGAAATAATAAAAACGAGGAATTGGACAATTTTTAAGGGGTTTTGTCACTTTACGGGATTAAGGAACAACTTTTCCAACATTCTTAGAATTTCTAAATATTCTTCAATAAAATACGCGTTGTTTCCATTTTGAAACATTAAAATCCTTCAATCCATCCTAAAGTTACGATCCTTTAAACATTTCTGGCCACAAATTATATTTTCAGTAAAGAATTTTTTTCTAGAAAACGAGCAGGATTTCGGAAGTATGTGTATTCACCAAAAATAGTTGTAATTGAACTTCACAACGGAAAATAATTTTTTTACAATGATTTAAAATTTTTTAATTTCGTCGAATTTGTTCACCTACTGAGTTTTTTTTCTCGAAAGTGGATAGGAATTCGAGGGTATGTGTATTCATCAATAATGGTTGTAATTGATCCCTGCAACCGAAAATAATTTTTCCAAAACGATTTGAAATTTTTTAATTTTGTCGAAAAATTTAGGCACCAATCCGCTCTCGATTTTTCTTAAAAATTCGTTTATCATTTTTAATCGTTTTGTTTGACGCCCTATAGAAAAGTTGCTTAACACGTTTTTGTAGGTACCTATCAGGTCTGCTTCAGAAAAAAGTTTCATTGAAATATACTCACTATTGTAGGAGTTATGGCTGTTTGAAAATTCGACCATTTTTATGGGGTTTTTCTCACTTTGCGAGGTCAAGGAACAACTTTACGAATATTTTTGGAACCTTTACCTTTAAAGAATTTTTTTCATGAAAGTGTACTTGAATTTCTTAAATTAAACAGTACATATCGAAGTATCGTGTTAACGTTCAAAGAACGTAACTATAACAATCTTTGCCCGCGTTGGGAAATAGTTGGAAAGAGAATCGCGAGATACAATTATTCGGAAATAACGACAGAGGCACGGTGATTCTAGTTTTTTGAAACAACAAAAGCGACGAGTGTTACGTTGAAAAATTACGATACATATACATCGGCGAAACACGGGGCAATAAATTATTTAAAAAGCCGTTACGCGTATTATAATGGATCTCTTTCGCGCGGCTTTCCTCGCGAGGAATTCTGATAAAGGACGAGAAGAATTGTCCTCGGGCGAATTCCCGTCTCCAACAAGAGTTACAATTAATTGCTATCTACACGCAATAAATTGCCGCGGAGAGCGCACGAGGAACGATGATAATGTAAAAGCTTGGCGTGCTCTATCTTCTTGAATCGTAGGTCATTGTATCGTCCAGAGGAGTTGAAAACTTACTTTTAAAATTATTGCAAAACCTCCACATCTGCGTGGTTCGTGGACGTTTTTTATTTGTATTTTATCCTATAAATTTCTTGAAGCAAGATACGTATTTATCGGAGTATGTTGCAGATCGGATCAGGTTCTACCATTAACTTAGACTTCATTGACTAAACTATTCCGTCTACTCTCTAATCTATTTACTACATTTAACCCGAACCAATATTTAATCCATCTGTAACACTAACCGAGATTTGAAAGTCTAATCTAGTCCTTCTACCCAGTAACCTATTGCCTAGATTTAACTCAAATCTACATCTAGCACATACCTAATGGTAACACAAATTTCATCTTCTAATTCCACTACCTCTATCCTCTGAATTACTAAGACGCTGTAAAAAATGTCCTAGAGTGATATTCGCAAGAAAAACTCGCTTATTGCATCGACCGAGGAGCACCCTTAAGAAAATGCATTTCCAATTCCGGATTCTCGCGTCCGAAACGATTAAATCGATGGCCCCCAAACGACCCAGGAGAATCATATAATGCTTGTTTAAAGCGTCCACATTTTTCGTGACCAACACACAAGCGTTCCCCGGCTCTCTTCGCACAGATGAACGAACTTCTCCGACGCGGTAAAACTTGCCCCGAGCAAGACGAGGAGGGGGGGAAGAAAAGAGATTATATCGAGTTCTCCCGGTAGCGTTGGGCGCGAAAGAAAGAGAACGCGTTTGTTTCTTCGCTATCGCGTTTCGCGAAATTTTCACGGGGTTCCAAGAGGGGTGGATTCACCCGATGGAAAGTTTGAATTTAATTTTCCATCCGAGACAAAGCTGCACGGTGCTACGGCGTACGAGATTCGGACGCGGTCGACTCGTCGCGCGTCGATTCGGGATTCCCGTGTTCTTTCGCTTCCGGTGTATCGTCGATAAAACTAGTATCCGACGCGCGGTGCCCGGCTCGAGTTTGAAAAACCGCTGTAAAGTCCGACTTTATCTAGAAAACTGTTCCCCCGGACGCGGACGTAAATTTTTACGCCGTCCCATAAAGCAGAGAAGCTAGCGTTGCTTAGCTCAAACTATCCTCCGCTTGTGCCGCGAGGATTAGGGGAGTGTTCTAGTCCAGACTGAAAGGCTGAAGCATTTTTAGAATTTTATAACAAAATCTACTTATGATGCGCGTCTTTGTCGGGGATTTATAGCCTTTACGATCGAACCATTGTTACTAAATTCTGTTCAGAGACAGTGTGATTCGTGACACTTGAATAACGTTTATGAAATTGATTCATACTCCCAGGATCATTTCATAAGACCTCCGACGGATGCTTCCGAAGGTTAAAAAGATTGGACTAACCAGGATACATTGTTTGTAAAGTAGCAGTTTAATACCTTTCGTGCTTTTCTAGAAATAAAATTTCAAATATTTACCATTATTCGAGGCACGAGGAACCCTCCTTAACTTATCGGAAGTCATCCACTTCAGGATCATAAAGCAAGCTCTCCGCAGACTCTGCATCCTCCAGAAATGATTGATTGATTCTTTCTTGTCTGCAGAGTATTCTGGCGTTTTTATCCCCGTGTGAATGCTCATATCATGCATAATCTTTAATAAAAACGATGTATCTTCGTAGTAGACACACGTGGCTATAACAGTTTCCATATATTGATCAAGTTTTTATTACTGCTTCGACGGGAATTCACCGACAAAATATTCGTAATTAGATATTCAAAAATATTCTGGTTTAAAGTTTCCTAGCAGTGTTTGTATAGTTCGATATTACCTAGTGGCTTTGACTCCTAGTTTTCGGGGAATTTATCAAGTTGTTGTCTCGAGTTAGTAGACAAGTAAGAACACTTCGAATCGCATTTTTCGTATTGTTCCACGAATCACAATTTCGTTGGTCAGCTAAACTAGAATGTAACCCCATCGTGCTACGAAACAAACAGCTCATCATAACACACAATATAGTTAGATGGGAGTTTCGGATATTGATAAGACCCCAGGAGGCAAGAAGTCGATTATGTACCTGCCATTCTACCTAAACTAAGCTATCTACTCCAAACATTCGAATTCCCCTTGAGAAGACTCGAACTTGCCTCGTTCACGCGGATGATACGAGAAATTCGTTAATTTTTGACAAATTGCCTGAATATTTTCAGAAGTCTAGATGTTTTACAACTCGAAACTCGCATCGAACATAACACGTTCGTCTGGCAACTGGATGAGCGTTTGCGATGAATTAAAGTGGCTTCAATACCGCCTCGAGGAAACTACGTCGGAACTACGGAAGGTCTGATTTAAACGCGCAGATCGAGACAGTGGCGAACGAACTGTAAAATCATAAATACCCTTGGGAATTACAACGTTGCACCGTGCTGTGGTTATGACGCAGAACCGCGCCTTATTTTTATTAAAATGGTCATTAATATCGCTTTAGGCTATTCAGAGTAGCTTAACCTATTCCCGTTTAATACTTGCAACATCATTTGTAAACAGAATTTGCGTTCCAGCGACGGGGGAATTCTGAATCATTCCGAGAGCTGGTATCCGAGGGTCGTCAAAGCAATTATTTCTGCAGACTGATATTCTCATTAATTGGACTTTTTAAGCTGTTTCGGTCTTTGTTAAGAGTTCGTGGATGGTTTTGCGCCGAGCACGTAAAAGGATGCTTTCATTTGCGAGGTTGTTAACGTTAGAATTTTTCAAAGACTGGATTTATTCGAAATGGTGCATTAAAAAACTTTGGAGTCAGTACATTAATCGTTGCATGAACCCTGGGGTGCGCGGTGAATCAATACTGCTACTATAACACAACGAACTCTAATCCTGCTAGATGATTACCAGAAAGCATAAAAAGCAAAATTTCTAAGAAACGATTCAAAGAAAATGAAGCGATGAACCCAGTATCCCACTATGGTGTTCTAGAGTTAAAGGTGATGGGGAGCAAGAAGTTGTGCTTTATTGTCACGATACTTCTACAATTTCACTAACTATCTTCGCTTCTAGCAATTTACTACTTGCTGCGGGATACTCGTTAGTGACGCGACTAGAAATGTACATCCTTTGGGTCCAATTTAGTAGCAGCTTTCAACAATGTTACAAATTGTGTGCGGCAAAGTGGTTGGAAGGTGTAACGTGATCATGCCGCTCCACGGTAGAAATTTAGGCCACTAATTCGTTAGACGCGTCACCACGTCCTCAGCAGGATTTTATGTTTAGGCAAACATGGGTTCAGAGAATAGTTAGATACAATTCGAAAAACGTATTAGGATCGGATTCGTTTAAACGAAATTAATAATTATTTCATTAGAAGAAAATAATTTTTTAGTAACATAGAAATATTATTAAATATTTTTCGAGAATAATAAAAGTGCAAGTTAAATCATGTTATTGCGTGGAATTCATGAAACTTGTGCGGTTGATATAGTGTTAAAAGAGATGAGACTTAGGACATTTTGGACATATGAAAATAAATGGAGCTTGGAATATTTTAGCAGGGTGTTAGAACAAATGGGACTAAGTATATTTTCAAAGTTACAGTTACCTTAGTATCTCGCTACAATTTCCCAAGTCCCATCTATTCTCAGGCTCTTCTCATCTATTCTCAAGCTATTATAATAGCTCACATTCTAAGGGAGAAATAATGAAACAACGCATGAAAATTTCATGATTTTCTTCGCTTCATTATTTAGGATTATATAAAAGAAAGGAATGAAAGTTGTCTACATAGGCTTTCTTTAATTTTCTCGTTTAGTCCTGCCAAACAATTATTTTATCAAAGGGAATGGGGCATAATTGAGTGTCTAGCGCTCAGGAATATCCTGATTTACACCTGCATCTCCTTGATCCAAAGATCATCAACGTGAATACCCTCTGTCTGCTACTATTGAGAGGAGAGGAAGGATAACCCACTTATCATTATTCTAGTCACGATGGAACGAATGTGGTAGACCCACTATATTCTAGTTGACATAAAGAACTTTTCACTTGTGACCCAGAAGCTTTAAAATAAGTAAGTCTCAGTTTTGTGCTGCAGCACTCAGGAATACTGAGTGTATAGCCTATAATTTACTTGATTCGAAGACAATGAACACGTTCCAATCTCCTGCGCAATAGTGCTAGAGCGTATTAGACCTACAATAGTGCTCTCGTCATTATACAAGTTATGGAAACCCACCAGACTCTAGTAAGGAAGGGTCATTTGGCTGCTCGAATCTTCTCCAGGTTCATGGGATCGTAGCACCTAGGATACATGAGTGTCCATTTCACCCATGTAGCCCTTAGAAGCACTTGGGATATCTAGCCCACTTCCTTAATCCTAAGATTCAAGATTAGGATCACGTTCTACCCTCTTGTGCAACTCCCTCCAACCTGAACTAAAATCATTGATGGGGTAAGACTTGAACTGACCCTCCTACTCATCTTTTTCGAATCATGATCAAGTATTCAACACCTAGGAAATTAAGTGCAATTGATAATAAAAAAAATATTCATATCAGGGTAGAAGAAAACTATTTAACAGCTGGTATCTCTATTTCCAGAGTCAGACAACGGCAGGATTGCGGATTTATCCGCGGATTAGAAACGATGCGTTCCACAGCGATGATAACAGTGGCGTTCACCATTTGCGTCGTCTGCATTTTTACCGACCCTGCATGCGCTTTCAGTAGAACTTTGGACAAGAACATCCTCTACTCGCCGGAACAAGTCGAATACATCAAGCTCTCTACTGCAATGTGTCCTGATAACACAATCTTGTGGCCAGCGAATCGTCGATGCTACAGAGAAGGTGAACAAGGTCCCTGCAATATCGGTCGCGTACTAACCTTGCATCAGCAATATCTGAAACCTTACTGCAAGGATCAGTGAAGCAATAAAACGTATAGATATTACTTTTGCCGGCTGCATGCAACCCTATCGAAGATGGGGGCAGGTATTCGAAACGACTAGTGGCGTGCTCAACTGAAATATTAGTCTGATAAATAATAATTATGAATTTTAAAATAACGGTATGCCTGTTTTGCGGTGCCATCGTTGTCAAATAATTATTTAACAGCATTGTCTTCTTTTTATTAAGAAAGAATCGATCAATTCTGTGATAGGATTGATTATTTTCGTATAGATTAATTTCGAGAGGCGGCAAGTACTTAAATTTAAAATCTCAATTTTTAAAATACGAAATACTGAATGCTGAACACTTCAGAGATTACAGAATTGTCCTAGTTTTCTTTTTATAAAGATTTCAATGTCTACTTCTTAAGTTTTACATAAATAATTTCGACGAGAACGATCAGTTTACGTATAGCAAATTTAATAGTTTATCTCTAGTAGCTCCCACTTATTTGGCATAATTTCAATTTTATTTTACCACGAATTTAAGTACGTAGCTAATTTAAAATATATGTATACATACACTTGATATTACTATGACGAATAATTGAAGGTGGCTATATGTATATTTAGTATATGAATAGAGAAATAATTTTAACAGGTCGAAATAAGGGAACAGTTCATGCAAACATGAGTTTGACTATGCCTCGTTTCGTCGCTGGAGACGCTTAAAGTTTCATAAAAATACCTCAGGATTATAGAGTACCTTTCTGTTAAACAACTTCAGAACTCACTTTTAACACAACTGTAGTTAATTAATTATTCAATAAATTGTCATGGAATAATATTCGGTAGTAGTTTCAATGCATACTGCAACATGGCGGATCCTTTCATCGCCCAGCATTTTTAAGTTTTTATCCGACTTATTTTTCACTATCTACGATTTCAAAATACGTTTGGATTAATTTTTAATAAAAATGCAAAAGAATAGACGAATTTTACTATCAAGGAACGAAATAAAAGTTTAAGTGGTAAAATTGTTCTCTTTTCTGGAAACTTTGAGCGACACCAGCGACACAAACGCCACTTTCGAATTCATATTTATATAAACTTTTCTCATTGCGCGCAAATGATGAGGCGATATCAGTATTAGTAACAGTAATAAAATATTCTACGTACTGTGACATTTTGCGTTAATATTGGAAAAAAGTTTATATATACAAATATCGTTTAATTTAAGGCGAAGCATTTCAGCTCTGAAGCAGGATGAAATGACCTAAACTATAGACTGAAATCAAAGAATAACGTTTAGCGAACAAATATTGAACTTTACACAAATTTACCGACACAAAGGCAATAAATACCATGCGCATGTATTGCATGAATATTTATAAAAATTCTAAAGAAGTAAGGAATGTAATTATTAATGACAAATTTTAAGATTAAATTATTCCCCCGATACGTGAACTTATGGTGATTAATCGAACCGTAACGATGTGTGCGTTATTTAAATTTTCAGCACTGTATCTGTTATGTTTCATTTTATTATAAAAGTATATTGCAGAGATGTGTGTTTTGAGTAAAATTATATGACTTTGTCAAACTGTATCCATCTTTCTCCTTTACATTTCATAATAGGAAAATACAGAATTTAAAAAATATTTAAGCCTTTCCTTTGGAATGAATGTTTATAAAAGATTTGATTTTTTGAAAAACATAATCGATTTGTATGCCTAAATTAACAGTATGTAAGATTATAATTTAATATATCAACTGTTACTACGTGGACCTCTAGAGTAAGTATCCTCATAGCTGTATTTTCTCTAATCCCCCCTCTATTTGTTTGCATAACCACTACGTGTCCAAAATAACAAGGCATCCACTATTAACTCTATTTTAAAAATGATTGCTACCGGATAATAGGTTCGATAACATCATCAGATTTTCGATCTTCAGTCTGTTACGCGTACAAACAAAGCACAATTGAGTTTACCTTGCACGATCCCTCGGTGCACTTCTGCATCGAAGGGCACCGATACCCTCATCGTGATACAACTTGATCGAAATTTACTTTACTCTGTAGCAGCGTTAATTACTTGTTTACGATGGTACAGTAATTTTCAATCGATTGGGAAACTAAGAGCGATGAATAAACGACCCGATAGATTTTCTGAGCAAATAAAGGTACTCTCCGTAACTGTGGTCACTGATAGCGAGCAGGATGATTAGAAAATCTATGGACAGCTATAAATTTTAATAACTCTTGCTGTTTGTTCTCTTTTCATTTTAAATTACGTGAAAATGAAATAAGAAAATACTATATAACTTTATTTATCCTATGTATTAATTCTGGACCGTACAGCTCTCACTCCGTTAACTCTTTGGGGCACGCTGGGATTAAAAGTGTCCCACATTTTCGATGCACCGTAATGCATGGTGGGACATTTTTAATTTCACCTCGAAATATTGCAATACCTGCATGCGCATAGGTTTATATTTCGTCTTATTTACGGAAAGCAGTTGGTAATATCTTCAACAAATGTTACAAATGTATTCACTTGTGTTGGCAACATTCAACATGCCAATACAGGTTCATCAATTGTTGGAAGCGGAAGAATTTTGTTTATTAATAAAAAATATACCAATTTTGTTTAATTTAAAACGCAATAAAATTTCTATGCAACTATTTTATCACAGACGAGGTATACGACCTTATGGACTTTCGTGGCCCCACAGACGAGGTATATGAATAGACCTTTCACCTAATGTAATTTTTCGGCAGGAGTTTCTGGGGTCCCGGGACCCCATTACCATTTTCGTATCACTCGCAACGTTATCAACAGATTTAGAAATTAACACAAGAGGAAGTGAGACGTAAAATAAAATTACATAAATTTTATTATTTTTTAACGGAATGAAAGCTGTATGGTCCAGAATTGAGCATCGATCGATTAATTTCATTGGAATAACCAATCGATCGAGATTATTTAAAGATTTCAAAATTATTAAAATACGTAAGGATCTCATTGATAAATACACCGCAAATCCTCTATTTTTTATTGTAAATTGTAATATATTATTTATTTAAAAACTAACTCGGCAAAAACGTATTTGCGACTCGAAATCAGTGTTATTAGACCGCACACCAGGACGAACAAGGTATGTGGAACTATAAGAAGAACGCAGCCATTAGCACATATTATTTCCTATGTAATTAATAATTGTATTAATTACATACTAAATAATATGACCCAGGTCTCACCACGTGGAGGTTGCTGCGAGTGGAGACCCGAAGGGAGATAGATGGAATCAAAGTTCCATCGATCTCCCTTTTAGCTAAGCTTAGCTGGATTACTAAACTAGAGAGATAGAAGGAAGCAATGTTCCTTCGATCTTCTGGTTTAGTTGTACCAAGTAATTATTTCGTTTGAAAAGGGGTGAAGCTAAATTATGGGATACGCGACGCGACGCGACGCGATGCTGAACCGTGCAGCAGATCTTCGGATCGAATCAACACTGCCCTTGGTAGATTGATTCCTATTTCTAGCAATCGATCTATCATGGGTAGGCGACTAGATCTTTCGGACAAACTGGACGGCCGATCACATGTTTCGATCGATGAAACAGCGGTGATCGAAGCTAGGAACCAGAGAACGAGTCGAGAGAAGCTACTTGTTAAATAATTACTTGGAAATATTGGGAGACGCGTACGATAGGGACTTAAAATTAACGTCGAAGCTCAAGTCTGGTCAAGTTGAAACTAAAATTCGGACGATAGAAGGAAACAAAGTTCCTTGGATGTACCAAGCAATTATTTGGTTAAAAAGAGGGACGAAGTTAATTTGAGGGCCACGCGACGCGACACGACGCGACGCGAAGCTGAACCGTGCAGCGGATCCGAGGATCGAACCTACTGCCCTTGCTAACTAGATCTCTACAGGATAACGGACGGCTGCGACTCCGAATCTAAGGTCTCCATTGCTCCAACGCAACCCGCCGGGAGCCCGAAGGACCCGACTCAAGTTGTCTGACAAAGAGAGAGTACCTCTGTTTCAGTGTCGACTTCCGCTGGAAGGTATGCGTTTCCGCAGGATACGGAAACTCCACACCTTCCAGCAGAGTACCATTTTCCCTGGATCGAGCTACCAAGGGAAGGCGGTTAGATCTGTCGGGCCAGCTACACGGCCGATCACATGTCTCAATCGATTTAACAGCGGTGACCGAAGCTAGGAACGAGGGACCGAGCGAGAGACACAATCTACTTATTGAATAATTGCTTGGTAGGACACGGAGACACGTATAATAAAGAAGGCTTCGACTTTAATTTTAATACTCGCGACGAAGCTTAAGACTAATCAACTCGGAATTAAAAGTCCCTCGGCGGGCGCGGCGTTCTCCCTCGGTGTCCTTGCGATTAATCCAAATTTAAACTGAAATCAAAACTAATATTTATATTAGTGAGACATGGTAGGAAATTTAATAAACACTTAAAAATAATCTATCACCTAGCTAAAGGGGCTAAACGTAAAAATAGAAATCTTATATTGATCAGTGCCATCGAAACAAATATGGCATATCCATCGACACCATGTTTTACGTATCAAACCGAACATTCTTCTAATGATCAGTATCATCGAAACGAATACAGTATATACATCGACACAATGTGATACAACTCAAAACGACCATTCGTAACAACGATAGGAACTTGGATCGAGACACCAAATTGATTCAACACCAAACAATCAAACGAAATGGAAGAATCAATGAAAGTACCTCCGCAGAATATTACGAGAATTCGAGCAAGAAGGTAAAAATAAAAATTCATGGAATCGTGTAGAAACGAATATAGTATATGATTGAAAACAATACTACATTATTATATCGTGCAATACTATACATATCAAAGCATTCACATAAATCCGACAAACAATGTAAAAGTAGAAACATAGAAAAGGAACATTCATAATAACCAAATAAAATCGGATAGATAAATACAGTTGAATTCACATCAAACAAACAAATGAAAATAATAAAATATAAATAAGTGGAGTGGACTTACTACTTGTTGTCAGTACATAGGCTAGTTACCATAAGGGCCAGCTGTAAAGTAAGAAAATATTCATATTATAGCAACATCAGTTAGATAAACAAGGCAAAATCAGTTCATTGAAGCACAATTGGCATCAAATGATAGAATAGAAGAGGGGAGAGAATTTTTAAACAGTTCTTACCGTTGGTCATCACCGTCCGGCACTGGTCAGTAGTGGTCAGTAGTGGCAGGAACGCGAATCAGCACTGGTCAGTAGTGGTCAGTATTGGTCAGCCATGGTCAGCTGTGGTCAGCGCTGGCCAGTAGGGGTCAGCAGCGGTCCCCGGTTCGCTTTTGGCTATTTGCCCACTCCCGAATTCGCGACGCGACTGAAGAATTCTTCGCAGTGACCCTGCTTATATGTCTAAGGTGATGAAAGGGTGGGGAAACCAATCAGAGCTAAAGTTAAAGTTAACAGTTAAGACTGTCTTGTCTACAAAGGAACTATTTCGATTAGTCCCACCTCTTGACCATTTCTGGATCTTCACTGGACCGCTAACCTTGATGTCAACCTCACTGTTGACCACCAGTGACCATAAGCTAGTCATTGTTGATCATCGTCCCATTAAAACCATTAAGAAGATTAAAGCCTTCTTACGAGAATCCCCTTACAATTTGATGCATGTCCTTTTTAACATTTTGTTCCACTTTGGAAGAGTGTATCTCGTTAATTTTTATCTTTTTATATGTCAGTTCGAACAATTGCCATACCGAGCGAAAAATTTGGAGGTGATTTTAGCGTCCTCGTCAGTTGAGAAACTATTCACTGAATTAGTATTGATGGACAGACAGTTGTAACGTGTGAAACACTACCCTGAAAAGTAAACGCGAAAAATAGTAATTCGCAATGCTATTCTTAAATAACAATAAAAGCAATCGCGTATGAAATTCGCAACGCTACCCTGAAAAGAAAACGCAAAAAATAGGAATTCGCAACTCTACAAGCAAACGCGATTATTGTATATTCGCAACTGTATTTTTAATGGAAATATATTTATGTTTCGCAACACTAATGCAAATCGCGTTTTGCCCAAAAATTCTGGATCGTGGTGTTGGCGGCGTCCACCGTTGATGCAAATTCACATGGAATAAATAAACTAACTACTTCAAGTTACTTAAAATTACAATAGAGTGGCACATATGGGGATGAAGTTAGACGTTTTATATACCTCATCTGTGGTAGCACGTAACTATCCATGTACGATTCTGCACAGTAGCTAATGATAAATTAAGAAAGAAAATCATCTTCACCGACGAAAATAAGAGATGACTGAGATCAGGGGAATGGTTTCGTTCGAATTTTCTATTTATTCGGTATATTTCTTTATATATTAGTACATGTGACATTAAGGACGCAGTAATATATTAACTGGACATTAATTCTTGTCGAGCAGCTGATCTCTACAAGAACGAGACATCGATACTGAATATTTACAAAAATACAAAAGCTTACAAAACATCGACTACTATACAACGAACTCTGTCTAGAATCGTTTCGCCTCCATTCGACGTCTACACACCGAGAACTAACACGAATTTCCGCCAATGACTTAGCAACATGTCAACGAGCTTCTAATTAATTCTAAACCGATGCTGCGTTTACGCAATCGTCGCTTTCTAAAGATAGAAAAATCAGACTTGTAGGTTTCGTGGGCTGGAAACGTAATTCCACCACCTAGGCCTGTCTAAAGTGTTTCGTTCATAGTGTAGAAAAAGATCTGTCTCAAAAAACGTGTCGCGTTTCAATAAGGAAATCCGTCGATCAACGAAAAATCAAAGTCTTTCGATTCCAACATACTTGTCGTTTATCAGATTCGCGTCGCACTTGCTTTCCTGGAAATTTTCCTTGGTCCGATTGTTGGCGAAATCCTTTCGTCGAAGTTTTGCAAATTACTTCCGCCGCACGCTGGCAACGTTAACGAAAACATATGTAATGACTATATATACAAGAAATTATCGCGTGGAACTCTTGCCTGACTCGTGTAACACAGTCGCCTTCAACAATGTACAAATTCGCGTTCAATTGGCCGTTCTGTGGCAATAAATCTTTAATTGACGTGTACGGTGTTTGAAACAAAAATTTCGTTCGATTTGCATGAATGAAAGCATCGAAAACCACGTGCCCTAACGTGTTACTAATTACTCGATCGCTTCGAGCCTCCTCTAAATTAAAGTAATATGTTGACGACGAGTGTCGGTGCACCTTAGTTTTCTTCCTAGTGACTTTGAGCGCAGTAATGGTCGTACGGCGATGAAGAACATGGACGAAAATGAATTGCACACACACAGAAAACGAGATTCGATCGTAAGCTTTCAGATCTTGGCTAATTCAGTTGGGATCGCGAAAGGGAAGGAAGACAGTTTCGAGGAAAATTAATTAATACTACACGACCGATGAAGAAACTTGCGGCAAAACGTAGATTCGCCCGCTTCGTTTTTAACTCTATTTACACGCTTTTTACCTTTCTCCTCGCTCTTTCTACGCGCGAAGAACTGGATTTATTCGAACGCGACGTTGTAAGCTCCCTGTTTATCACCCATCTTTTCTATCCGAGTCGTCGAAGCGACCGTATACGTGATTTGGAACAGGCCTCGCTTAGCCCGACGTTGAAATCTCCAGCTCCGACTCTCGCCGGAGATTTCAATGCCGCTCTCTGGAGTCCTCTCTATGTGCGCTGTGTCTTCGTGACTCCTGGCCGCTCGGCGTCACTGGACGACGCTTCGAACGTTTGAATTTCGCGATATCTTCCCCGAAAACGTCCCCGGTTCTAAGGGCCGAGATCAGGTCGTCGAATTCGCCCTTGTTGTCGTTCTGCCCGTTGCTGTTCGCCTCGTTCTTCTTGCTCAATGATATGCTATTCAATATTCCTTCGCGAGAATTCTTCCTCTCCATCGTCCTCTTTCGCAACTGCATTAAATTTACAGAGATTAGTATTTCATTTGATACCAAAAATTGTAACACTCACCTCTTGTTCCTGCTTTGCTCTACGCTCTTCTTCCTCTATCTTCTTTCTCATGTTCTCCACGTCCTGTCTGGCCTCGGCCAGCGCCTGCAGGAAGTTCTCGAAGATCCCAAAGAATTCGTCCGGCTGGACGCCAGCCGAATCCTCGCCAAACAGTCTCACGGCTCGATCGAACTATTTATAAGAAGACAGCTTTCTTTATTTCGAGATAAACAAATTAAAAAGCCTACGTGAACGTCACGCTCGTCCGTAGATCGACGAAGGGCAAGAAATCGGTGTCCAACGTTTTATATATAGAACGATGAACGAATAAAAAGATCAACGACCGTACGATAAAAACTTACTCTAGTTTTCATGTCTTGGAAGAGATCTTCCGCTTCCGCTAGCCTACACGTGGCCTGGGCCTGGAAGTCCCTCATCGCGGGTAAGAACATGTCGCCCTGGAGTACCTGAGACTGGCCACGATGGAATTCTGAGAGAGAACCGAACGAGAAACTGGATTAATAAAGAACGAGAATGCCTAAAGACCTGTTATTAAAAGATCAGCGTACCTATTTCTCTCTGAACGTCCTGTAAACCGTTCTTCAAGTTAGCCACCTCCTTTTGGAGGTCGGCCATGCTGACTCTGGCGGCGGTCCGGACGTGTGGCATGTCCTCCTCGATGTCCAGCACCTCCCTGAACCTGGACTCGAGAATTTGGACCAAATAGTGCAAGAGAGTGGTGCCTTTGGAGCAAGAGGACTTCGTATCGACTAGACGGTTCAAAGAGGCCAACCGGAAGCCGCAGGCGTTGCCGCGCGCGTTTCCGCGATTCACGTAATTCCCTAGAGCTAAGACCAATTCCAAGAGCTTCCTGAGACGCCGCGATCTGGCAACTTGTCGACTAGCTTCGAGAACGGCGCGCATTCTCGGTGTCAGTTCCGCGATGCTGGCCGCGAACTTTTTCTTGTAGTGAAGAGATCGCAGTCTCTGTTCGTAGTGCGGTACTCTGCAACCACGGAATGCCAAACGATTCTCTTTATTCGTTGACAAATGAACAATCGTCTCTGATTATTACAATTACTAAGATGAGTCAAAATGGGATCTGCCGTAAAAGGAGCGAAGTGTAAGAATTTATATTCCATTTCGTCTAACAAGGAATGATATCTGACCCGATATAGAGACCGTACCATTTGCAGCTCTTGTAATTATTATACAATAGAGAATGTAACCCAGTGTCCAGAAATCGATTCTGTAGCGTCTCTGTAAACTTTCCAGGGTTATTGTCTTCGCGTGTTTGAACACCGGATTGATCTAATTTTTGGTTATCGGTCGTGATAATATTTGCAAGACGTCGGCAAAAATGCTTTGGACGCGATTATCTTAAGACGGAAATTGAGGACATTGATAGTGCAGTGTACAATCGATATTAAATGTTAGTGAATATTTGTAGAATTTTCTATCAGGGCTTTCCTGTATGTTTCATCGCGATACTTACTTGGAAATTTGGTACAAGAAGCAGTCGGCCCTGCTCTGAAGCTCTTTCTGGTGCATGTCTAAAAGTGCAGCCTCCTCCGACGAGGGAATGTACTTCAACAACTGCTCGACCATGTCTATGTGCAGAATATTCTGTTGATCCATGGACAGGATCGTTCTTGTGATCTCATTGTCGGACAATTTCAGCTTCGATAACAGAATCGTACAATTCTGGGCTCTCCTGGAATCGATAACCGACATGGTCCTCTTGTTCTTGCCCAGAGTCCTCAGGTCCTCGATGGATCCCTCCGCGGACACGCCGTTCTTTTGATAAGCGCAGAATATCTTGTCGATGGACTCTAGATCCATCACGTTGTACAGCTTCGTGTCGTCGAGCTCCGACCATATTGTGCCTTGCAACTTCTGCTCGGGGATCTTCGACCAGTTGAACGATTTCAGGGGGTTGCCTGGCTGAGGAACGTTCTTGATGATCTCTACCTGTTTGGATTCGTTTCGTTGCATCAGACAGATCTCGACCAGCAAGGGACGATCCCCGGATCCGGAAATTTAACTTTACTAGATTTAAAATCGCAGATCAGGGATCGTTCCTTGCAAGCTGGCGGAAAATACTGAATAAAACAAAGTTCGACAAAGGATCGAACCTTCATAGGAGGGGGTGCAGCTGGCATTAAACACGGGGGTGGCGGGGGTGCGAGAGGAGGTGGTGGAGGCGGCGGTGGCATCGGTTTCGCCTCGACTTTCTCGAGGACTTCGTCCTCGACGATTTTGATCGTCGCTTTCGCGTCGTCGGGCAAACTTCCGGACGCCACCAATTGTTCCAGCCGCTTTCTCTCCGACTTCTCGTTGTTTATCTGTCGCGACAGGGTCTCGACGTTGTCCTGCATCTCGGAGATTCTCTGCTTGGTCTCTATGTGCATCGACGTCTCCTTCTCGAGGCGTTCCTTGACCCTCGCCAAACTGGCCTCCATGTCTTCCTGAAATCGTGTCGCAAATGTAGAAAGAAACTAATTTATCGAGAGGACGCCGGATAAACGAGTCCGAATTTGTCTCGACGGTTCGAATTACTTTCTCTTGCGTCCTCAGATCCAACTCTTGTTCCTTCTTGGCCAATCTGGTCGACATGTCGGAGTTCTCGCGCTCCAACTCTTCGGCCTTCTTCCTGGCCGCGACGAGTTCCTCTTCCTTAGCGAGCAAGTGAACGATTTCCTTCACGTTGATCTCGATCGGTGCCACGTCGGGATTCCTTATGGTGCCGGCGTCGTTCCCTTCGGATTGCAGGACGATCTGTTGCACGATCCGGTCGAACAGGAGCCAGTGCTGCGGATGGGAGCCATAATCGACTGCAACAAGGGAAAAGAATGATCGATCGGTCCTTCCTGGCTTCGCCCGGAAAGAAAAGATAAGCGATTCGTAAACGGAAACCCACGTGGCAGTAGAAGACAGTGTTCCAGGAGACTCAACAGATGAGGATAGGCGGCAGTGTGGCTCAGTTTTCTCCTCAGCAAATCGAACATCGCGGTGGCGCTCTTCGTGTCCACGTGCTCCTTCTCGAACTTCCTCGCCAGCTCCTTCTCGTCCTCGTTCCTGACCATCTCAAAGAAATCCAAATGCCTGTCCAGCGTCTCGTTCTCGTACTTGCGGAGCTTCTCGATGATCGGCTGAATGCCAAGCATCAGAAGCTCGTATCTCAGGTGCAGTCTGAACTCCAGGGTGACTTGACCCGGCCCATAATTCAGCACCGCGTTTATAAACGACATGATCGCCGTTTTCAGGGACAGGTTGTCCTTGTAGATGCCGAAGTTCTTGTCCAAGTCGTTTATGATGCTCTGGAAGCGCGTTCGCTCGGAATGATATTGTTGGAAGTGCAACATGGCCTCCAGAACCTTTCGATGGCCGCCGGGAACCAGACACACCGCTCCCAGGATCTCCAGAACGGAGATCTTCGTCTTTATGTTTTCAGTCGCCAGCGACTGGGATATCGTGTTGATGGCTGTCGGATGCGCCAAAACGTGCGCCCTTCCGTTCTGCAACATTTATCGTCCACACCTCTTAACTCCGTTTCCACGCCGGAATTAACAGAGTTGTAAAACTTTATTAACCATAGTTTGCTCACCGAGTTGTTCATCAACGCCTTCAAGCATCCTATCACGCTCGTGTGGAGGTTACTGTTGGCCGCTTCCGCGTCCATGGTTCCGAGAACTTGCAGCAGAGCGTTCAATCCATCGAGTTCTATGAACCTGAGGACAAAACTGTGCGGTTGCGTCCTCAGGGCAGTCTTCAAAGCCTCCACCTGGCGCATCTGGTTCGAGACCTCGTCGCCCTCCTCCGTAAAAGGACTCTGAAATATAGACGAACCTTTTTTACTTCCTTCTAACGATGAATCCAGACGTTGGACAGGTTTGGTCCGGCCTTTAAGCCTTTAAGATTTTAATTGCGAACTCGGTGGCGAGTCTAGACCAATTGCAAGCGTTTTGGAAGAAGGTAACCGGGACGAGAGAAAAGAAATCGATACTCACGCTGGCAATCGTCCGGAGTCTGTTGATGTAATCCTCCGGATCGCCGCTGAGGTCGGTGGTTCTGAGTCCGCCGTTTTCCAGCGTGCCGTTGCCTTTTCTGGAGCAGTAAATCTGCCACTTTTTGTTCGCCGGAAGTGCCAGAACCGCCTGCCGGTTGGCCTGGGTCAGGTCCAGCTCGTCGACCAATTCGAGGAACATCTTGTTGAGTTCCTCCTCGGCGGGCATCGGCAGGGTGGGTGTCATCGCTTGAAGCGTGAGCGTGCCCGTGTGCTCCACAACGCAATACGTGATTTCCGGCGGCTCGTCATCCTGAACAGAAAGAAAAGACCGGTGCGTTCAGTTACCTGTTCCAACGTTGCCTCGTCTGACCTTCGCGGTGGTCTGTTTTTGCAGGATGCTCCGAGCACGATGATCATCACGATGCCTCGCGATGATCAGACGTAAGCAATAAAACATTAATGTGGGCCGGAGGAACGTAATTTAGGTCATTTGTTACCGCAACGCCGCGGGACTTTGAAATTTCCCTCGGCCAAGGCTGAATTGATTGATACAAAAAACGAACGCTGATGGAATTACGAAAAAAAACCGCTCTAATCTTTAACGAACACACCGGAGTAATAGTATTCGATAAAAATACCGGGATACTCGATGCAAGCTTATGTTGTACAGGGTGTTTCGCTCTAGAAAGAGGTAAGAACCGTCACGATTTAAAAGCAGGTATCTTTAGAGTAAACTCTGCTTGAGAGACAGTTATTAGAACAAAGAGATTCTAAGAAGAAGAATTGAGTTTGCTCGATTCCTTCGCGTTTCCGTGAAAACCGATTGGGAACGAAGACGATCGAGGGTATGTAACCAGGTCTTGACCTTATTGAAGACGAGCCTCGGCATTAAATCGCGGAGTCGGTCGTCGAGATGCTGCCGGTGTACCAACTTTGCATGCGTACAGTGTGTGCAATCGACGGTCACGTAGACGCAGAATTCCCTTCGAACGTGCGCCGAAAAATGTCCTAAAATGGCAACGACCAGTCTCGATGGCCAGAACGATAAAGTGGCTTTCAGAAATTGTTTTCCGACTCGAATATTTAAACAGGAGGAAATCTTGCGTTTTGAATAAATTCTGTATTCGAACGACGTTTCGGTCCACTTCTTTGGCAGCCTCCTTTAGACACAGACCGCTTACAGATTAGATAAAGGAAATTAGTTCTTGTTAGTAGCACGATGATTGTTGGCCAATCTTAATTCGAAACGAGGAGTAGTAATTTGTTGGGTTAACGATTATTATGCTATTAATAAGAACTGAATCTGTTTTCCAAGCGGAAAGAAAGCAGGCTGAATCATAATTTGAATATAGAAATCACTCATAACGGCAACTTCTCCGTTATTCGGTTGCAAATAAACGTATTAAAGCTGTAACCATTTGGTGTTCTTCGAGGTTATCATTTGAGGCCATTACTTTTCATACTGTTTTATCAACGACCTTGCTGGCAATCGAATCAATTTAAAATATCTACTGTACGCCGGTGATCTTAAACTATATATTAAAATTAACGACGTGTTGCAAGCTAATGTGCTTCAAACTGGCCTCGATAGATTCTCGACATGGCGTGTAAACAATAGGTTCGATCTTAACATTTCCATACGCCATATAATGAGTATCCCTCGTAGCCGACATACTTACATATACTCGTACACCCTGGATAATTTACCATCAGAAACTATCGATAGTATCTATGATCTAGACGTAATTTACGACACAAAAGCTCCCTAACGAGGTTGTTAACAATTCGATCGAGTCGCTTAACTGTATCCTTTCCTTCTGATAACTCTTTAGAATATGTTAATTCTACGGAAACGAAAGTGAGAAATGTCTATGGAAGTTAATTTCGTCGAATAATATATGTTCATTATGCGAAAATATGCATTTCCAATGGAGACTGACGCAATAATATGCGTATTAATTGTCTTCGAACGGTGTTAAGTTTTGCAATCCTCTCGACAGAAGTATTAATACACTGTCTACCGCTTTCTGTGCCTTTGGCCATTTTAATACAAGGTACAATACATTTTTTTCTGCCATTAATAGAAGTAGATGATTAATAGACGTTACGTGGTCACTTTCAACGATCTCTAGCAACTCGCTTAAATGAATCAGACGATTCTTTTATCCTCTGCTCCAATGGGATCTTTTATCCGTTAACGAATCGAATCGTTACAAATAAAATAAAAATGTGTAACAAAACGATATGCATGTAAAACGCTCTAAGCCTAACCTAGTTTTAGATGCCCTCCTTTTGCTGATAGGTTCAAACAAGGGCGCCACGCGTTTGAAGTTCATTAAGGCACCCGGTCACGTTCAGTCTACAGTAACATGGACGTTTGTCCCGCATTCGCGATCTCCGAAAAGGAAACCATTAACCCATTAACGGCCAAGTAACAGCCAAATATTATTTTCGAGCATTTTTTTGCCCAAGATAACATTTCTGTGGGATAAAATTGATCGAATGCTGTGGAAAAAAGTGGATAATTAATAATTTTCACGTAAATGGCGGCTAATGGGTTAACATCGGACGTTGTAGCATACTCTCGTGCCTCTTTCGCCCGACTCGGCCGAGCAGTCAAGAACCAACGGCAGCAAAGGTCAGGGGACCGGCTCAGGCACTGGATTCCTAAGGTACTTTCACACGTGAAATTACCTATTCGCGTACCAGGACCGTCGATTTATACTTCGCAAACATCATCCTACGCCTGCGAGAGTGTACGGCACCTGAAGTATTTATTGTCCTCGTTGCAGCGAGGTCTCGGTGAACTTAGAGTCCACGCGATGCATCTTTTCACTCCCTCTCGTTTACTTGTTCCGTTCGACTGCTCTATTCGTCATAATCGGGGAGACGAAAATACAAAGTCAAGTACGCGGACAGCCATTTGCGCGAGATAAAATCTACGGCTCGTACGACAGGAAACAAAACAGATAACAAAGATTCTTGGACCGTGGTCAAAGAAGTCGAGGTACAATTTAATTTACGAGGACGGTAGGAGAAACGAAGAGACAGGTCGTAGATGCGCTTCGATAGCCAAGAAGGAAGACAGTTTTATCTCGAGATAGGAAGAATTGTGTCGCGGAGAAGCGAACGAAGAGATATTGACTGTCTGTAATCCTCTGTTGACAAGCACTCCTGATAGATGCAATTCGCTGAGATAAACCCACATCTGACGATAGCCTGCAGAGATATCGAGCCGCCTCTATCGATCTATCCTTCCTCCAGGGACCGTTTAATAACTTTTGCTATTAAAAAAGATCTAAAGGTAGTTGATTTTTCGGGTAAGTGGCAGTAAATTAGTTCGTCTGGGTCGTTCACGTGCGGGATAAGCACGTGAACGCGAAACGGGAGGAGATAAAGCGTGACACGCGACGCGAGCTGCCGGTACGCGCACGTGAGTTCGAGATTGAAAAAATGGCAAAGGAGGTCAGCCGGTTGCCGGTTCGACTCGCGACGTTTCGCACTGACTCTCGATCCACGTTCCCCGAACGACGAAAGTCTATCCTGCGTGACGGAACGCCTCTACTAAATCGCGCGAATAGATCACGCGCCAAAGAATCGCCGAGATAACACGCGTAGGCTTGAGTTTCGCGGCTTCGGACGACGATCCATGAGCCGTTCGCACGTCACTAGATTTATGGACGCCTGGGAAAATACGGCCTGCCGTGAGACCGTGTATATCAATCTTCTTTTGCACCCCCAACTAATCAACCACTTCCCGATCTGTGCAAATTATTTCTTACGGAGTCGCGAAGCTTCAATTTATATCCGATTACTGGTACTCATCGTTGATCCCTATAATCTTGCTCGAAAGTCAAGATTTGTCGACGCATAAATAATTTATTTTTTAATGTTCTGTTCGCTTCTGCTGATTACTACTAACAACAGCAGGAGAATCCTGGCAACCTCTGATATCATATAACGACCGCCACTGGCCTCTGCCGGCTTCAGCTGGCTTTTGCTTGCCTCTTTTGGCCCCTGCTGACCGCTGCTGACCACTCCTGATACTTCTGACACCGTATAACGATTACTACTGCCTGCCTCTCCCAGGCTCTGCTAGCTTCTGCTGGCCTCTTCTGGCCACCGCTTATATATCAGTAGTAATCGTTATCTGTTGTCAGCAGAGGCCAGCAGGAGACAGCAAAGACTGGGAGAGGCTGACAGTAGCCAGTAGTACTCGTTAAACATTGTCAGAAGTATCAGGAGTGGTCAGGAGAGGCCAGCAGAGACCAGCAGAGGCCATTAGTAGCCAGCAGTAGTCCTTAAATGTTGTCAGAAATATCAGCCATTGTCAGCACTGACCACTGCAAGTGTTAATTTTATTTTAAATATACACGAATGTTTTCCTATGAACATACATAGTCGGAAAATCATTTAAAATAATCGACGATAGTACAGCAGTAACCGGAAGTCTTTTACTTTCGCCATCTAATTGAAAGACTGGATTGTCGGATGGAACTGGGATGTAAATGAGACTGTCGTATATTACCTAATTAAATTTATTTTTACCGACGTTTAAATAAGCAAAAATAAACGAGTCGATTGCGTTGTCCGACCAAGAAGGAAGCACAGATAAACTTTATTATGCGCGCGATAGTTTGATGAAACGAGCATCGATGGAATTCTAATCCAGCCGTTTGCCAGGGCAGGCTTGATCAATCGGTAAAAAATCGAGAATGGCAAAAATAGCTTCGTTACCGTCGACCACGCGTTCAACGTCCGCGCGTAATAAAACGTACGAGCCGGTCGGCCGAGGGAGATGATTACGAAATATAGCTTACGAATGCACGAGATACAAACAGCCATAGATAATCGCGTCTCGGGATTTTCATAAACGAACATTTTTGCCGCGTCTCTCTTCCTCCTGCCCACGACCAGCGCTGTAATCCGAGGCTGGATCGGTGAAGCGACGTTATAACTGCATAAAGCGACCCGATTTAGTGCAACGACGCCGTTCAATGGCCGCACGCGATGCGATTAATGCCAGTTAGCTCGGAACGAAAGCGAAATATTATACGCGGCCGCGTCACGAACGCGTGGAAGGTAGACTTTACTTCCCTGTAAGTCGGATCTATTTACTTCTGACGTTTAAAAAATTCATTATTTCCTATCCCCTTGTTATAAAATTTCTAGACTCTCTCGTTCATGTTTTCCACGGCAGCTGGAACGTGCCGCGAATCGACGAAGAACAGGAGGCAATTCCGGGCGGGCCGGCGAAAGAAAATCATTACGATCGCGATCTATTCTGCATCCCTAAGAAATTGCGAAGCG